CCAGAGTCTTCTTTTGCTCCCTGAATACCTTTCTAGCCCAGTCTCCAGTCACTCCCTGCCATTCCCACTCCCTGCCATGCCTTTGAGCCCATTACACTCCAGTTAAATGAACTGATGATAGTTAATCAAATACATCATGGTCTTTTCATGATCATGGCTTTGCATGTGAAATTTCTTCTGCTACTTTCTCAGGTTGAGATAGTTATTTTTCTTGATGTTCCCATAGCATTTCCGCATTCTAGTTTTATAATTCTTGTCATACTATATTGTAGTTAGTTCTCCACTTGTTTGTCTTCACTATCAAACTGCCAGTTTCCTATTTGGGGAGAAAGGAAACATTGTAGAGGAGATTCAGACTCTGGATGCTTCTAGGTGGCATATAAGCTTGCTTTGGACCCTGAGACACTGTTATTCATCGATGCTTGACTTCTGTTTTTGTCCCAGCCCTCCCCCTGGTGGAGGTGTAAAGAATCAGTAGAATGGTCACATGGCCAAAGATAAGGCAAAGTGACCTGGCTGATCCACAACCTGGTTAAACATGTGCCTCATGTCATTTTCAAAGTAAATGCAAAACTGACTAATGAGCCTTGGCTTTAGGATGACCTGGGAGGAGCTTTCTGTCTTGCCATGTATTAGTTGGTAGACCCTGATTTCAATCCCCAAAGCTGTAGCTGGGGATCAACACACCCATCCCTGATGGTGTCAAACAGCATCACATGACTGTCAAATAGCCCAGGAAGAATTAGGTGGTGGAGATCCTCTTCCACGTATTCTCCTCTGCCTGAAGCTAACACAAAACTATTTGCAGGAATGTTTTCCTTTGGATGATTACACCATAGGGCAAGGAATCAAACACCAATCACATTCACATGCTAAGTGTTCTCCCTAATTGCAGTGGACCCCACCTCCCAAAAAAGTCACAGGGAAGGTCTTCATCTCTATCCCAGAACAATATCCATTTAGCACTGCTTTCTGTCCCAGTTGAAGATAACCTAGACTTTGAATTAGTATTTAGTTGCCTGTGGGAGGCAGCTAGTGTCTGAAGCACCCCTGGATATGGAGTTCCATAGGCATAGTGGCCTCAGGTGTACTCTGGGTTGGTTTGAGAGGTGTTTCCCAGGGAAGGACCTTGCCAGGTGGGTTTTTTAAAAAAAGGGATAGATTATCAGCCTGGTTGGGAGGAATCTCACCTCTAAAACCAACAAAATTTTAGAAATTTTGTTGAATTTATAATCATCATAGAAATTCTCCATCATGGCTATGGTGAATTTTATCAACTACTATGTTTACAATACAGTGAGACTTCTAGCAGCAAGAATGGGTTTTAGTTTTAAGTGGAGGGAAAGGAAATTAATAGAATCTATTTGTCTTCAGGAGAGACTACCTTTAAAAAATCAGCTCCCACAATGTCATTTTATATACATGTCAAAGGCAAGGAAAGATGATCTGCTGTCTTAGGCATCCATCTGGCTGTGTCCTCATTAAAGGAAGAAGAATTCAGGTGCTACCAAGGATAACATGAAATAAAACAGAAACAGAACTGGTGGG